TACCATAGAAGTTGTACAACTTTTGAAGGTAAAGGGAAACTTTATTAACAAATTATTTTAGGCCAATGTTCTGACCCAGTGAATATAATTCTTGGAATAATACAGGAGCTGTTATCACCCCCAGACCTAAAATGATAAAGAGAGGGAATTGTTACCAGAATCTGGCATATAGCAAGATGAAAAGGGCAACTAATTGTAACTGTGGTTCTTCATGGAAGAATGTATCCAGTCTACAGTGAGCCACCAGGAGCAAGAGAGTGAACTAAAATCTCAATTTGATTGTCCTCCTTCCCTCTGATCTTTTTCCAGTATCTCCTGTTAGCTGATCCCAACCAGATAATGGAGGTGAAGACAGCCTGCCCATGCAGTCCTTGGGTCAACTGCCCAGAGTATAAAACAGGACGGGAAAAGAGAGTATAATACAAAGGAGAAAATAGGAGATATCCAGTATAATAAATATCTTCGCAAAATATCCAAAACTGGAACTACCTTTATCTCTGACCTTTTCTACAGCTCCTTTAGGGCATTCTAAATAAGCTCTACTCTTATATTCTTCTTGAACAAACTTCTCACTATTTATGCTATTATATTGTAGGAAAAAATAAAGTAGGCAAGATCTTCTTTTAACCCCTACTAGCTAAGGAGAAGACTCTTTCTTTTCAGAGAAATGAATGCAAGCTCTGGATTTGCATGAAGAATTATTCAGCCTCCTTCACTCCCTAATTCAAAAAGATCTGCCAACATTTCTCAGCAATAGGTTCATTATGAAGTCATCATAAGTCTTAGAATAAAACAAAATGAAAGAGATGTTTTTCACATTTGTCATAGGAGATTCTCTGACTTTACTTTGTGGTCCACCAATGTCCCTGAAGAATCTAGAAGGAAATATGGGGTTTGTTGAACCAAATCAATAATTCATGTCAACATCAAAGCTTCTTAGATCTAAATGTATAATGCAAAAAAATGAGAAAAATCAACATGCACTGTAGTCATCAAAAACAACACACAGGCCCCTTATCCCTGCACGTTACATAAATACCATGACAAACTATGAACATTTATGGTACACTATTAAGAAGGAAACGATGTTCTCTTTTGTAAAGTGTGGCCAAGTGGTAGAGTGACATATTACTAGTATCCTGGAGTATTTATAACAATACACTTTATTTCCAAGCCCAGAAGACCGATCTGCTGAGAAAAATCCGTTGTTACATTGCCTAAAACATAACCAAACCAAGACTGGTGTCGTTGACTTTTCTTACTACGTAGGAGATCTCTCCCATCTCATAGAAAACCTGTCTGCTATCCCTTCCATTTCTAAATCCATTAATTCTATGATTTATTAGGGTTCTTTAAAAAGTTCCAAGTTTCTTAGAAACTTGGAGCTACTTCTTTTAACCTAAAATGAGTTTTGCATGAGGAATATACTACTCTAAATATGCAGGAGAATTCAAAAAAGTAAATTTTGTTCAAAAAAGGGAACGGAAAGAATGGAGGAATAATATAAATATGGAAACAATTATTAAAATAAGAAACAAAAATGATAAGAAAGTAAATGAATGATAGATCTTCCTAGGAAAGGTAGGAAAAAGGAGAGTTACATCATGGATCATTTTCATAGGTAAGAGTATTGCCTAAGCTCCCTGAGAAATCAGAGTGCTACAAATATGTCACTTTTATTTCCCAACATATGAAAGAGAAACTATTCTTAATCAAACCTAGGATTTCCCAAGCTACACATATAGATACTGTTCACACCTTTAGCATTTGAGAAAATGAAATAAATAAAAAACTCTGGGCTGGGGATGTGGCTCAAGCGGTAGCACGCTTGCCTGGCATGCATGGGGCACCACATAAAAATAAAATAAAGATGTTGTGTCCACTGAAAATTAAAAAATACATGTTAAAAAATTCTCTCTCTCTCTTTCTCAAAAAAAAAAACAACAACAAAAAAAAAAAAAACTCTTTAGCTCACCAGTAATTTTCACAAAGGTACCCTGGCCTGAAAGTTTGCTCCAAGTGAGGCATAAATGGACTCCAGGAAGATGGTAATAAAGAGATTTTAAAAAAGAAATCTTGGGGCTGGGGATGTGGCTCAAGCAGTAGCGCGCTCGCCTGGCATGCGTGCGGCTCGGGTTCAATCCTTAGCACCACATACAAACAAAGATGTTGTGTCTGCCGAAACTAAAAAATAAATATTAAAAAAATTCTCTCTCTTTAAAAAAAAAAATCAGTCCTAATTTGGGCTGAGAAAAAAAACTATTAAAAAAAAAGAAATCTTTATAGAGAAGTCCTTTCAATAGGAAAAACTTTTTTGCTTCCTGACAGTAATCTCCATAGAGATTAATATGCTTTGACCTATCAAGTATCTATTACATAGAGCACAAAAGACTGAACCTTGTGGTTATGATGACAACCACAAGCTTACAAAAAATTAGTTTCTCCTAGTGAATTTGTATGCTGTAGACTGTCATAGTCTGCCCTTCGTCATGACTGTGTGAAAGCTCAGAACTCACTTTTGAGCTCAATTGTCTCAACTTTCCAGTTCTTCATACTTTTCTATGGTCTTCCCTGTACCGGATCTTCATCTCCTTCATTCCTTGATTCCATTCTTCTTGTTGTTATCTGTTTTGTTGTGGTTGGTTTGGTTTGGTTTGTTTGCTTTTACCTTATAGCACCTACACATTTATTGCAGGTCACTTCGAATATTTTTGGGAAAAGTAAGTCAATACTGATCAATGATTATAAAATATTTCCTGATTTTAAAGAGCTCACAATCTAATAAAAATAGAAGGTTGGGAAACATTATTGAAATATTACTATGCAATCTATAGACACTGTAAAGGGAAGCCCAAAATAAATATAGTTTTATGAAGAGTGAAGTCACATTCAGATAAGTGACCACTTTGAGAGAAAATATTAAATGAGATGAGCTTTGAATGACATGAGTCAACATCTGAGGATGTGAAGTTAGGAAGAAGAAAGCTCAAGACATGTTTAGAACACATTACCTCCAGATAACATTTGGCAGAAATGTAAGAAAACATAGGAGATAATGCTGCAAAGACATTGGAATCAGCAGGTGAAGGATGATTGAAAATTTTAAAGCAACTGTGAGTCTGCAAAATGTTTCTGAGCAGAAAATTATAAAATTGACATGATTAAAAGGTCAGAAAACTACATATAAGCAATGCCTTCCAGGGTACCTGAAGAGGAGGCACCTGACTACCATATCTCTGCAAAGACCTATATAGATCATGGACACAATTTCTTAAAGGAGAGACAAAATAAAGGAGGCAGCCCAATTATACCTCCAGAAAAATGCAAGTCCAACCTCAGTATGAGCTGCTTTCTGTCTACCCTGCCCCATCAGCAATCAAGAGATGCAGCTGGAGATTCTAGTGGGGACTGACACTCTCTGGCCCTGAGATGAGGGTGGCACAAGCAGTCTCCAGGCCCTTTCCTTTGTTCCTTGGAATATCCCAAGTTAGTGAAAAAAATCTGGGTCTCTCACTCTTGTCTGTCTCTTCAGTATCCGGCTGCCACTGCAGGGCAGAATCATCTCTGATGTCACAACAGATGAATCAGGCTTTGGCATCATCTCACAACACTCTGAGAAGTTGGTGATGATGGATAGGGATAGGACGATGCATTCCAAAAAATGCTACCGTGATGTAAGATTAATACTTGTAGGGTTCCAGAAAAGTCAGTCTTTGAAATCATCAACGAATCAAAGGCTTTCCAACACTCCTGTCATTGTTACAATCTGTATTACCCAGTTCTAATACCAGTGACTGTGGCCAGCTATATTTGTATAGCAGTTGAATGCCGCCTTCTATTTAAAAAGAAAGGACTGGGGAGGAGGGAGGGAAGGAGGAAGGGAAAGAAAGAAAGCATTCACCTTTCGCTAGCATTTTCCCGGATTCTGTGCTTTTCCTGCATCGTTTGCCATTCTGGGCTCTTGGCTATTCCCTATGGTCTGTGACATTTGCAGAGACTCACGTGGAGTGGCCAACCTCAGCTGCTCAGGGCGATGACGCCTAGGAACTTCCCATGGACCAGGACGTTGCAAGCTCTGACACGCAAGGGAAGGGGGAGCGAGCTGGTTGTCAGGAGGGCCCGGGGCAGCTCGGGCTGAGTGGGGTTCATCTCAAGGGCTGGATCGGTGTCAGCCTTTTCCTCCCTTCAACCCTGTACTGGCGCCTCTCCAACCCAGAGGCTGGCTGATAGATATCTTCTTGGGCGCTCTCTGAGTCACTTGGCTGCTCTTAGGCTCTTTCCTGGATGTCTTTGCGAGTACAAATCCAAGCCCGCCGTCCCGCTGCTTCTCCTGTTCCTAAAACTAGTGCCGAACTCCCCGCCGGAGGTGACCAAAATTGTGCTGCTTTGCTAGAGCAAAGTGCCTAAGACGCAGGGAATACGAAAGCTTGCGCCGCCTCTGGGAGAGCTGCGCGCTGGACAGCATCTTGGCGATCTCAGGGCTTTGAACCCTGCTGTGTGGTCTGACCTCGCTACTTGTGTGGTATCCACACTCTGACCGGCCCAAGAATGGAGCTGTGAAGGTGGCTGGGCGCTGGAACTTGGTTTCAAAAATTTCTGACGAAGAATATGATCGAAGAGACCCGAGCCCATAAAGCATTCCCAGTCGCCAACTACAAGCGCTTTTTCCCGAAATTGATAAAGAGTTTTTGAAGAGGAGACTCATTATACCTTTCCCCCCATTATTTCAGCCTCCCTCCCGTCGTTCCTGGCCCTAAGATTCTGGTCAGGATTCCACATTTAAGGCCTTCAGGTAGAAGCACTATCCGAGCCTGAGGATACACCCACTCTCCAAAGCATTCCCCCAAGAAAGCACTTGAGTTTCCCAGTAGCCAAGAAAGGAAAACCAGTAATTGAAACTGGCCAAAGGAAATGCTCAGAGGTGTTCAGGATTTGTGGACATTGGTATCAAGTCCTTAGAGTGGCTGCTGGTTTCAGAAAGTCTTTTTCCCAAAGAGAAAATGTCAGTCATAAAAACCATCCTGTAAGACAAAGATGAGTGTATCAATTTCTTAAAGAACATTCAAGCAAACATCAAGTTAAAAGGAATAAGGTGAGGGAAATTCCTGATGATTTTACTAATGTTAAAATTCCATAGATTTGGCTAGTACTTTTATTTCACATCATCAATTCAGAATTCTATAAAGGAACAGAATGACATCAAAGAAAATCATTGGCCTAGGAGAAAAGAGCCCGTAGGCGTTTAGGTGTTATATATGTGGAGCCAGAAAGCTCTGGAGCATCAGGGAGACTCCAACTTAAGGCAACAGCATGGGTGAATATGGGCTTCACATGGACGGGGGAAAGAGAGGGGAAGACTAGTGACTGAGCTGTGGCCCCTAAGTCAGGCCTTGCAGATCTAAGACAGTTCAGTCTTGATTGGGAGAGTTCAGTGTGACACTGGGGTGGAATTGGGTCTTCAAGTACATTTCCTGATGTATTATTGTTTGTTCTACCAGCTTTTTTTAGGAAAATCTTCATCTTGCATTTGGTAGGGCTGGTGCTAACTTACAACTTCACTAACTGTGACTACAAGAAGATCAGACAGGCATATACGCATATCATTTTCTGTGACCTGAAGGAATATATGAATGGGGTAAGTGAAGAAATAATTTTTAAACAAATATATTCTTATCAGAAGGGTAAGTATACATACATGAAAACTACAACTTAACTTTCAAAGAAAGAAAAATGCTTTAAAAATTATCTCATCAAAATTTTTTTGTGATTGATTTTCAAATATATTGGCATCTAAAATGACTATCTATAAATTGGTGTGTTCTAAGTGTGCAGAGGCTGATGAAGAACAGATACTGATAGATAGGTAACATTATGCATCGCAAATGCCTTCTGCAGAATTGCTGCTCTGATTTGCAGTAAAAAAAAAAAAAAAAAAAACAATGGATAAGGGCTTGAGAAAGAAGAGTAAAA